TAGGAGGCGCCCTCCTGTTCTCAGTTCTTTACAAAAACACCCCCTCTCTCAGCTAGACTACACAACAGCTTCCCAAAAGCTGCTTTTCAGCCATGAAAAGTTCATAGTTTTCTACATAATTTGCATAGAGACCCTAAAACGTCACATAATTGTTTTTAACTGGAAAAAATGTGCACTTTGACTATTCTAAGGCCGAAAATACCCCTGAATTGATGCCCTTAAGGCATCAAAATGCAGGATTATTAGCCATTAAATCTTAGCCCTACGTAATATTGGGTGCCCTCTCATTTTCTTTTCAGCCTTAGGATCACCTTAGAACAATCCTAACCCCCCATTTTAAACCCTAGGGTGCCCATATTTCTGCAAAAACCCAGTTGTCACCCCCCTCTTTCTCTCTAACCTTAGTTTTATCCACCCTTCTCTATAAAAAGGACCCCAAGGGCCCTAGAGAAGGGGTTGGTCAACTCACCCAATTCAGAAGGCTAAGGTTTCTTGAGGAGTTCAAGGGTTGTAGAAGGGAAGGATGCCCAGATTTTGTCAGGAGGGGTTCTTGCAAGCAGTCCAGCCAATCTGTAGCTACCGCTACTGGATCTGATTGACCATCCTTTATTTTCTTTATTTTCTTTCATGCTATTTTTACTTCAGCAATCTTTTAAATTTAATTTCTGTTTGTTTGTGTGTTTTGTAGATCCGAATTCGTCCGGTTCAAGGCTAAGGTGTCTCGAGGGGTTCGAGGGCTGAAGAAGGGAATGATGGCCAAATCTTGTCAGAAGGGGTTCCTGCAAGCTGTTGCCACTGGATCCGAATTTTGGATCATTTTTATTTATTTCTTTTGTTGCTTTCAATGCTCTTTTAATTTCTGAATTTTAATTATTGTCTGGTTTAATTCCAAACCTTTAATTTCAGCATTAATAAATTTTATTTTCTTATTTTCTTCAATTCCCAATTCATTTTCTTTTTATTTGTCCGGAAGAAAGAGGAATAATAATTTTTCCTTTGCTTCTCTGTGGGTTCGACCCCTTCCTCACCATGTACTACGTTGTTTAAGGTTATGTGAGGATTGGAAAAGTTTATAAATATCTAAGCTAGTGTTCCAAAGTGGTTAATGACACGCTTCTACCAACACCACCTGCTAGAAACTCAAAAACCCTATTCTTCTCTACCAACTTCTGATAAATTGTTGCATCATTGTTGTTTTCCCAAGCCACAGTCTCCAAATGATCTATTTGCCGCCACAACATTTTGAGGGCTGAAAAATAAAAAGCAATAGACATATCTCTCTGCCTAGTAGCAATCACCTAGTTTCTCAATCAGTAGGCTCTAGCAACATTCTCACTCTATGAATAAGTTACTGTTACACCATCCCAAATCTCTTTAGTTGTGTTAGCCCATAGAAATATTTTACTTATAGGGGGTAACATGAAATTGCATAGCCAGGTCATCACCATGTAGTTCTCTTGAATCCACCAGGAGTAGTTAGTCTTAAGTTTCTTCTCTTCACCAATGACATATCCCAATTTTCCACGATCTCCAATGGCTATCTTTTCATATTGTGATCATTCTAAGTAGTTTTACCATCCAACTTGACTGTAGTGATGGTCCTTACCCTGAAGGGGTCACTAGCACCTCATCCACCTGGTCTCATTTCACCTGTACATTTATATTCAACTCCACAACCCTCCATAACTCCTAGAACAAATTAGGAAATCAGTTGGAGATGAAAGGAAAAAAAAGCATTGCCTTTAGAAACCTCAAACACCTCCCTTGTACCCTATAAGCCCCTTTCACCAAGATTCCCTTCTCCGTGGAAGCAGATAGAAGGAAAAAAAGAGGCTACTACATCCTCAAGAGACCACCAAAAAAACATGGGACTTGAACCACCCTCTCCAAAAAACACCAAGTAACCCCTAAATGTAGGAGTGCCCCTTCCTATGTCAAAATTGAAGAGTCCTATTATAATCAGGATTCTTCCCTTTCTCTAGTTCTTTCTGATTTTGGTGATGAACCATAAACTTGCTATAGGGGATTGTAGATCCATCAAAAAATCCAAAATTTGGGCTCTATAGAAGTCCTCAATCAGCTCTTTACCTCATCATGTAGTTGGTTGATCTAGGGCTGCATGATGGAATAACTCAAAAAGTCTCTAAAGATGCTTTGATACTAAGTAGAAACTGCAAAACTCCAATCTGATTTATAACCTATGAAAGAAAGGTAAGAGAAAAGAGAATTCAACAGAGAAGAGGAGAGAAATAGAAAGGAATGGAGAAAGCCAAAAATTAATCTGGCCACCCCTTTCATTAACTTATATACTCATCCAAAAAAAAATGACTACAATGACAAGTATACCCTTAGTAAGTCAACTAATACTAAAAACACATAAAAGACATTCTTAATAAAACATAAACTAATGGGCCTTGGGCCCAATAACTATAACTAAGCTATATGAACAAAACTAAGTGTTATCAGCCCAATCCCAACAATTGTTAATGATTAAAATGCTCCCAAATATGTAGTTCCTATAAAATATAAAAGGAGCTTAGAGTTAACATTCTTTGGGTCATCCCAAAGCTCTATTAAACTATCAACCTAGCTACCACATCAATCCCCCTTGTTGGAATGAATTATCTAAAGTTGAAAATTAGAAAAGCAAATTTGTTGTTTTCATATATTAAATTTAGGGGTTTCTTCAGTGAACTTCACCTCAGAAATTGAAATCTCAAAGAGGTTGGTATGGAATTCGAAACTCCCATCACCCCCATCTAACAATTCTGAACTTTTTTTCAACTCCCCCCACACGTTAGCCAAAAAGTTGAAATGTTTTTACTATTATACCCCTGGATGCAAAAAAAAAAAGAAAATGGAGACATTTCGAAGCTCCCTTCTCCCAAAGTTTCAACTATCTTCCCCATTTCGAACGTCGAAAGATTTTTTAGAGGCTCCCTACATTCGTCGTTCGGTAGAGGTCCCGTTTCATCATCGGCTGAAGGAAGCTCGATTTACTCACCGTTCAAAGAAATCAAAGACATTTAGTCGCTCCTTTCGTCCCTTCGTATTGAACATTGTAAGATTTCTCAAAGGCCCCATATACCCATTTCGAACATTGAAAGATTTCACAGAAGCTCCCTGCATTCACCATCCAGTAGAAGTTCCGTTTCATCAATGGTCGAAGGAAACTCGATTTGCCTGTCGTTCAAATAAAATGAAGACATTTATTCACTCCTTTTGTCCCTTTGTTTCGAACGTTGGAAGGTTTCTCAAAGGCCCCCTGTACTAGCCGTCAGAGGAAACCGTTGTTCACCGTCGGAAGTGAGGTTTACTAGACTTTGGAAGAAATATCTCCTGGTTGCTTATTCTTTTGTCTCCTTCTTCCCCTGTATTTGAACATTGGAAGGATTCTCAAAAGCCCCTTTTGTTCATTGGTTGAAGGTTTTCCAATTTACCGGCCACTGTGCATCCCCCCTCATCCAATTTCAATCATTTGTGGTACATCGGAGATCAGAAACTCTATTTTTTGGACATTTGGTAGATTATAGTAGGATTTACTCCTCCAATACCCTGTTCCATTGCTCTGAGTGTGGTAAGGAACTAGCTGTGAGTGAATTCAATTCTTTAATGTGTTAATGTGGGAGCTTTACTTTGCATTTGCCATTGCCCGTTGTGTTGTCTATTGAATTGGAGTCGGAATAGCTCCATTCTGTTAGGCATTCTATCACACTATTGTTGCTCTGTCCAAACAAATTGTTTGGTGAATACCCTGTATTAAATGGTTTATCATTGGGAGTTAATTTCTTGGTTTTGTTGAGTGATATTTGACTTCTGTCATTGCTTATATGAAATTGAAATGGTATGCTATGTGAGGATTGTCTCTTATGCTAACGTAAGGGTGTTAAATTCCCGATAGAAAATGTCAGGTGCCAAAGTTGGGATAAGGTTCTCCACCAAACATTTTAGGGAGATGGTGAATAGTTTGGATCACAAGCAAAGGCTCCAATAAATAGCCACACATGCTTGTGGAGACGTCCATCTTGAGCTATCTACTGACATCGTGGGACTCAAATAACCATTGCGTTACAATTGGTGGAAGGACTGAAATTCTATGAGGCCGATGTTGCCTTGATAATGGGGTTTGGCCTATCGGGTAGTATAGTTGTCCTATCGGAAGGCCTTCCCAATTGAGCATCGCTTATTGGCTGTTTGTTTTTCGTAGACATGGCTTTACGAGCACATAACACTTTTCACTCCTTTAGTTCCCGATTCCAGTCCTGGTCTGTTCAAGTGGTGGAACATGGGGTACTAGTGGAAGCTAAAGAGAGCAGATTTGTTGAAGAAGCTAGGCCGGAAATGGTTTTCACTTTTGTTCCCCTACTTATGATGTTTGTGGTTTTTATTTGTTTAGTTATGGGGATACCTAAGATCTCGTATGGATTTCTAACCCCATTAGAGGTTCTTGAGGTTCTAAACCCTATTATTGAGGAGCTAGCTTTAGTGGAGGTTCGATCAAAGGGTTGTGTAAGTTGAGCTAATGATATTATTTTTGTTTTTCGTGGAGTCCTTTATGTGACCGAAGTAGATAGAAGCTGATATAGAGTAATTAACCTTTGGTGTTCTTATGTAGTTTTTGGATTCAGGGAGCCATAGCATGGGTGGGGAACCATTTTCTGATAGAGAAGACCCTGATCATGAGTGGGGTCAAAGAGGGCAAAAGGTATTATTAGCGTAGCATACATGTTTTGAGTTATATATAAGATGTCAAACTTTGGTGTTCATATGTAGTTTGTGGATTCAAAGGGCCATAGCGTGGGTAAGGAAACATTTTATGATAGAGAGGACCCTAATCATGAGTGGGGTTGGAGGGGGCAAAAGGTATTATTAGCATAGCAAGCATGTTTTGAGTTATATATAAGTTGACGAGCTACTAGTGTAAAGATTTGTTAACCAGCTCATAACTTGTTTTTACATGGATTCTATAAATTTTGTGTTGAATCTATGGAATATCAAATTCTGTGTACGGAGGCCAACTAGTACGCCTCGACGAGAAAGCAAAGCGAAGTACTTCGTGATGAAGTTAAAAGGCTTCGTGCAATGTTGACAAATAATGGTTTGGATCTGGATGTAGTATCATTGAGTGAGGGGTTGATAGCTTTGGCAACCTGCATTCCAGAAGATGATGAGTATGGTGCAGATCTACCTGTTGGAGTTGCAGGTGGCACCACAAGGGCAAAGCAATCTCCCGAAAGGACTAGCATTGTAGCCCCATCTTGCAAGATCGTTAATGTGTCTCCCTCCATTGCCTCTACATACAAACACAGGTTTTCCTGGTTAAGGAGAGAATGTTGCAGTAGTGTCGCTTTACCTACCTCCTGGGCAACAAGGGCAGGTAGCGAAAAAGTTAACCATCGTTGTAAGGTCCAAAAGAGCAGTGAAAGGGAAGGTGAAGTGATAACTGTTGGTGTTGTCTCGGTGTTGTATAGGGCTGAGTTGCTTAGTATTTTAGTGACTAGTGGAGTATTTGTTGCAGTTTGTGGATGCACAATCTTTGTGGACTTCTTTTAAGATGAAGGACTTGCTCTCAGAGAAAGACATAGCAATTGTGAAATAGTTCTTGAACAACTCCGAGAGAGGGCAAGTGCGCATGATTGTATATTGGATTGTGTCCATTTAATTGATTTTCTTTAAATTGGATTTTGTCTATATTATATTTTTCTTGTGTAATGAGGTTGATGAATGGTTATTCTCAAGGCAGTGAACAATTAGTATGGAGCGACGGTGTGGTGTTTTTGACCCCAAATTGTCTGCTGCCCCTCTTTAACTCAGAAGCATGGGTATACAACGAGGTATTGGTTTGGTTTAGGGGGTGTTGCATGTCATACAAGGATAATTGGCAATCCTGTTTTTGAGGTGGTCCAACCCATAAAAATCCCTAGACTATTTTGATGTGATCAGTTGTGTAGGTCATAGATGCATATGGGCTCTTGTTAATGGCAAGACCTACCAACACCATCAAGATATGTTATATTTCTTCGATGACACCGGTATGGGTTGTTGCTTGCAATGTGGCTAAAATTCACACAGTCTGGCGATGCATTTTGTGATATAATCTCAATGTTGTGTGTTTGTAATGCAACTGTATTTCTCGGATTCCCACCACGATGTTCTGTATCAATGGCTAAAACCCAAAGAAATATTGATGTGTGATAAGGTTTTCATACCACTATCGGGTGACTCACAATAGGAGCTGCTAGTGGTGGATATGTTGCACCAAAAAATCGAATCTTACAATTCCTAAACAGCAGTTGCCACCAAGCTTATGGAAGAAGCATGGTACGTATCATCGAATTGATTTTTACACCACTAATTGGGTATAAGATAAGGATTCGGTTTGCTAATGTGTCTTCTTGATTTCACGTTATACGGCAGGAAGCAAGTTTGAGAGAGAAACTGACACCATTTGTTGTTGGGATCACTGGTTGGCCGTTTGAATTCGTGGAGTCAGCCCCAAAATAAATTGGGTACGTGTTATATAGTGAATGCTTAGGTGATAGGGTACTTGTATGATGGTTATTATCAATTAGTAAAAAAATTGATTTATGTTTTGTGCAGTGGTAACAAGTGTTGTGTGTTTGTGATGAAGTACATGGAGTGTTTCGTCCAGAGTGTGGATTTTGATTTTGATCCAGTGAGTACATATGAATTCTGTGTATTAGCACACATAAATATATTTCATTAGTACTAAAATATGATACCTTTACTATAGGGAATGATTTATGTTATTAAGTGGCAAATAGGGGCACAACTCATCCAGAATCATATCCCAAGATTTGCACATGTTATGAAGGATGTTGGTTTGTATAACACGGTGTGATTATGGTGAAATACAAAGATGACTTGAAAACCATTTTTTCTCTTTCTCTCATCTAACCAGTGTGAGTAGATATTAAGAATGCAAATTATTGTATAGAGCATATATAACTATGTAAATGTATAGTTGAATGGCTTAAAGAAATGTAAAATTTTTTACCTTATCTTCAAAGCAGTGTTTCCCCATTATGTGTGTGGTGTGATTATGGTGAAATACTAAGGTTACTTAAAAATCTTTTTTACTCTTTCTCTCATCTAATCAATGTGAACAAATATTAACAATGCAAATTATTGTATAGAGCTAACGATTGAGCATATCTAACTATGTATATGTACAATTGAATGGATTAAAGAAATGTAAATATTTTTTACCTAATCTTGAGAGCAGTGTTTCCCCATTATGTGTGTGGTATGACTTGTGACCAAATATTTGCTCCACATGTATTGGCATAAATCAATGTAAAATACTTTTAAACAAATAGGAGGGGTTTGGTGGGCACGACATACGCCCGCACCCGTCGGAGCAACCAGTGGGTGGTTTTACCATTTTTTACATGCTGTCCTAGAGGGGGCACGGGGGTCGATGGACGGGGATACCACCTCCATAGGGTGGAGTGATGTCCCCGCAGGAGGCAAAGACGCCCTGGACAAACAGGGAAGCCTGACGATGGGAAACAATGCTTTTGCAGAACCATTGTTTCCCACCGTCGGTTTGGGGCGTTGGGCTAATGGGCAACCAGAAGGTGTCAAGATGCTCGGTGGACCAATGGCAATAGGTGGGTGTGGGTTTGATAGCCACAAGACACATCTACACTAGCAAGAGCAACCAGTGGGTGGTTTTTCCATTTCTAACATGTTGTCTTGCAGGGGATGGGTGGCGGTTCCACCTCAACGAGGTGGGGTGAGGTCCCCTGTATGTCACTTTGGGAGGCGGAGACGCCCAGGGCTAATAGGGAAGCCCAACATTGGAAAATGGTGCTTTTGCAGAAGCACTGTTTCCCACCGACAGTCTAGGCCATTAGGCTGATGGGCTGTCGGAAGGTGTCAAGATGTTCGGTGGGCCAATGACAACAAGAGGGTGAGGGTTTGGTGGCCACGATACAAGTCCATATTCGCCGAAGTGGCCAGTGGGTGGTTTTGTCATTTCTGACATGTTGACCCAAAGGGAACACGAGGGTAGATGGGTGGTGGTACACCCCCACGATACATGTCCTCATGGGGGGTGGAGATGCCCCAGGCTAACGGGTGAAGCCCGACGATGGGAAACATTAGCAGAAGCATCGTTTCCCACCATCAGTTCAGGTCATTGGGCCGATAGGCGGTCGGAAGGTGTCAAGATGCTCGGTAGGCCATTGCCAATAGGAGGGTGTGGGTTTGGTGGCTACGGTACATGTTTGCACCCACCGAAGCGGTCAGTGGGTGGTTTTTCCATTTCTAACACGTTGTCCTGAAGGGGGCACGGGGTAGATAGGTGGCGATACCACCTCCACGGGGTGGGGTGAGGTCCCCTAAACATCCCCGCAGGAGGCGAAGATGCCTCGGGCTAACAGGGAAGCCCGACAGTGGGAAATAGTGCTTTTGTAGAAGCATCATTTCCCACCGTTGGGCCGATGGGTGGCCAGAAGGTGTTAGGATGCTCAGTGGGCCATTGGCAATAGTAGTGTGTGGGTTTGGTGGCCACCAATTTCATTACTAGTAAGCACCTAAAATACAACCATTTTTTTATCAACTATCCATTGACATGTGAAAGAGATAAGTGCGTGCAGTTTCATTCAACAAGCAGGTCAAACCAATAACACAAGTGCATCTGTAGTTGGGTCATTGAGGTATGGTACTATTTCAAAACAAGCACGGAAAAACAAACAAAAAAAACAAAGTTTAAGGGAAATCGTTACACGCTAGACTTTCACCCCTATTGGACTTGCCCCTACCCAATGGAAGCCTTGCATGTGCTTCTATAGTGCCCCGTGTTACCTATCGCTTGCAATGAACCTCCCTTCTCTCACTTGGTTGACTCTAATTATGAGACCATGCCACATCATTGCTGCCAGGCTACCGCTATCAGAATTACCATTTGATCCAACACAAATATGCATGCTCTGGTCATCGTCGGAGTCGGGTTCTATGCCATCATTCGAGCAATCCACATCCATCATAGGTTCATTGAAGGAGACAAAGATGTTTGATGATGTGTTGTTGTACTGAATAAGTGTCTATATGTTGTTTTGGTGCTGAAGTCAGTCTTAGGGTGCATCTCTCCTCGCACGCAACGCTTGGGTCAATCCCAAAACTCCCATAGATAGTGTGCATGATTGAATTTAATTCTATGCTTTCATTGATAACAATGCCAACTGATTTTCCATTAAAGGTGCAAATGCATAAGATTGACTTATCCGCTTTGGGGTTCATATGTGTTTCTGAACAGAAGGCACACCTGCAAAAAAATATAGATAGCATTAGTTGTAACTATTTCTGGAAAAAAGAACACAATAGTGTGAGTTAGCCAAATGACATGTAAACTGCCACCAACCATGGTACAATCCCCCAACATTCATTGGATAGAAGCTTCTTGCCTATGAGTCGGGTGCATGAGAGAAAGCCCTTCAAATATTTTCCACTATGACGTTTAGAGGCGAGTTCGACGTCCAAATGAATAACTGTAGAAGTGGTGGGTATGGTGGTTATGAGATAACAGGTGGGAATGGGGGTGAGGGTTTAAGGGAGAGGAGTAGGGGGCGGGTGGACTATGGCGGTCAATGACCAGTGGGAAATCTAATGTAAAGGAGATACATGGTGATGGTTGAATTCAACGACCATTGGGCAATCTAATGTAAAGGAGGTGCATTGCAGAGTGATGCATGTCAATCAGTTAGTAGATTGAACCATCAACAGACATCACCATAGGTTGGAGGTATAGACCAGACCTAGGTACTACTTCATACAAGTCTTGACTACACATGTGATGGTAGAGTGGCCGTAGGCCCTCGTTTAATCCTCAACTTGTTGGAATATCCAGTGGCCATGTGACAAGCCACATGTTGATGGAAGATGATTATTTTATGGTTATCTCCAAGCAACACTCTCACACACAATCATTCATTTTAAATTATTACTTATTTATTTATTTTCTATAAAAAATAAATAAATTTATTTGATTGTTTATTTGAAAATGTTTTTATGCATGGAGATACCAATATTGTTGGATTATTTTGGATCTAAATTTCAGTTGTTATTGGGTCAATGGATATCCATTTGACCCAGTCTAGACTGGATGATCATGTGGATAGATCCTTGGTCAGTATGAGACATTTGTCTCAATCTGGAGAGGCCTTGACTTGGTCTTCCCTCCAAATGTTCAAGTCGGTTATGCTCCCTCCTCAAAACAAGGAAGGGAACGTTGGGAAAAGACCTATATATATGGCTATCACAAAGATAGCAGAGTGTGCAAAAAAATCAAAGATAACTTGGAAGGTCAAGTAACCTCCAAATTTTGGCTCCATCCAGATTTGACAGTTCTCTCTTGCATTTTGTTTGAGAGATAGGTGTCTCGGATCCTATATTGTGTAGCTACTCTTTTTCTCCTTGTATGCAGGTTTGGTACACCAAGATCTCAGCCGTTCACCTCTGCATCTATTCGGTCCTTCACTGGTATGAGAGCCAAACATCAACTGGCACAATTTTTTGACTGTAGCCGCGCCACACTGGATAGCACCCCACCTTTTAAGCTTTACAAAAGGGAGAGGAGAGAGAATACAACCAGTTCGAGAGTTTCCTCCTTTTCTCCACCGAAGCATTGTTCGAGGGTTTCATCAGCTCTCCCATCTGTGCATCTCTTCGACCCTCCAACTGTAGTTATTCACTGCAAAGAAGAAGAACCAGATCGAAGTTTTCTCACTATCCTCCACCGAAACCCTATTTCAGGTCTTCTTTCTTCTTCGTTGAGATATCAGACAAGCTCCAACAGCTGCTCCTTATTATTCTTGCTCCGACGATTCCAAACTTGGTTCCAGTTTTCCTCATTTTTTTGTTCGAAAGAAACGCCTATTCAAGTTTTCTCGGAAAGATATACGAATCTACTACTCGAAGAACTACAAAATTTTATCTCAGATCTAAAGTTTGAAGCAAGACACATGTTGATGGAGCGACACGTTTGCATGACTCGTCATGAACAAAAGCGCGGCAGGAACGAATTGTCACATAGACGCAACAACACAAGCGACAGCTCAGCGATGCCAGCCCGTTGCAAGACATGCTCAGGATAGAGTCACTTCGACACTCGCCAACAGTCAAGATAGTTGTCTCACCACCAACAGCTCGCTACAAGGCAGCTCGACATCCTGTGAGAAGTTGCCCGCCTGGCAAGACCGTACTTGACAGCCCTGAGGACTGTGCCCATATCTCTTGTCTGGCGGCGGGGCACCTGCCAGTTCTGAGGACTGCACTCATTGTATCCTGCCTAGTGGCGGCGTGCCTGCCAACCCCGGAGGTTGTCTCTTGCCTGGCGGGACCGTACCCAACAACGGTCACATTGGCTCACCTACTCCCCACTCCTAATGTTACCAGCCAATCACTCCGAGGCGTTACCTAACAACAGATCACTGCAGCAGAGATTTGGGATCAGCCCCTCCAAACCTGTAAGAACGCTAGTACATAAAGCTCTCAACCCCCCCAGGGGCCAAGGTATCGCATATTCACCACTCTCTAGCTCTCTTACCTTCTTGCATACAAATTTCCACCCAAGTTTTTAACCAAACACTAACTTAAGCATCAGAGAGTTCCCGCCGGGTGAGCCACCCCGGGTTCCTTCGTCCTTCTTGCAGGTCTCTCTCGCCCGACGCCAGCTAGAAGCCTCGTCACTTCCAGCTAGGAGTGGCCGGATTGTGTATCATCAATTGGCACCGTCCGTGGGAACCGTTTCGAAAAGCTTTCAATACCAAACTTTCACCAGCATCAATGGCGTCTTCTAGCAACGCCGGGCAGAACAATGGAACAAAAATTCCCAGGGAGCACCTTCACGCTCCCACCGTGCGTATCGG